CCTCATTACAGAAAGGATATAGCCAGGTTGGAGTCAGTGCAGTGTAGGGCCACAAGGTTGGTGGCCGGTTTGCAGGGGATGCCATATGAGGCGAGACTGAAGGAACTGGGTCTCTTCAGCCTGGAGAAGAGGAGACTCAGAGGGGATATGTTGGCGACATACAGGTATGTGAGGGGATGTCACATGGAGATGGGTAGATACCTGTTCTCCCCCGCAGAGGAAAGCAGGACGCACTCCAACGGAGCAAAGCTCAAGGAACCAAGTTTCCATTTGGGTGCCAGGAAGCATTTCCTGACAGTTAGGACCCCAAGGGTGTGGAATGGGCTTCCACGAGAGGTCGTTGAGGCCCTATCAGTGCGGGTGTTCAAGGATAGGCTGGACGTCCATATGGTGGGCATGTCGTGAGTGGAGCCGTCTGGTGCCAGATGTCAGACTAGATGGCCCGGGAGACCCCTTCTGACTCGGTCTGTTTTCTATGTTTCTAATTACCCTTCGGTCACCTCTGCTGCCAAGTTTTGTGCTGATATTGCTGCACCAACAGCAGCAAAGGCTGCAACAGTGAGCACGGCAATAGGAAGTGGCCTTGAACCCTTCGCCCTGGGGGATTCTCTATGTGCCACTCTGCTCCAAGGGTGCTGCCCACAGGTCACTTCCTGGCTTCTCCTGGCTGAAGCCCTGGAAAACGGCTGCCGGTCAATGTGGCCAGGACCTGGCTTGAGCGACTCAGCAGAAGGCACCTCCGCATACTTATTTGTTAAATTCCTATACCACCGAATAGCTGAAAACCTCCACATCAATACATGAAAGCAAACGTAAAAATGAATTGCAATACATCTTTACAATAACAAACAACCCAAACAGGTTATTTCAAAAATACTAGTAATATTTCAAATTAACATAACATTTCGAATTAAGCGAAATCAGTAACTGCAGCGTAATAGCAATTCTATGTATTTATTTTCTATACTGCCCAATAGCTGAGGTTCTCTGGGCAGTATACCACAGCATGTTAAAAATACAGTATAAAATGCACTCTGTTAAAACATCGTGAAAAACTTACCATACAAAATTGGAAACCAAATATGAAAATTATTATAAAACCAGATACAAAAATTGCAATAATTTAAAGAAAAATCTCAGGACGTGTTTAGCAACTTCCAAGCCCCAGTAAACTAATGCATAAAAGCCAGCACCAAGCACACCTAATAAACTTTTCCAGTGCACTGAGGCGTTAAGAGACAATGCAAATTGCAGATGGCTACCCCAAGAGTACAGGCTGCAGAAAATAGCAACCAGATTTCCTATCGCTTGCAGCAGTTGATCTCTTCTCTTCTCGGCTCACTCATCCTGGTGCAGTTCTCCCCTGCGTCTGGATGCTCCTGCTGTTCCGTTCCCAAAAGTGAGGAGAAAAGGCAGCTCAAGGGGCCTCCGGTGGGTTGCAGGCTCTCAACAGGTGCCCAGCCGGGCACACGCCCTGCTCCAACCCAGGCAAGAGCGATGAAATGCATGCTGAAAGAGAAAAGTCATGCCGTGCTACTGTAGAGATTGCTGACATTCTTGAATGACACGTGCACCTGAAGAAAGCGTTGTGCTTTGGCCTGTTTTGCCATCAAGTTTAACCCAGAAGCCCTTGGGGCATGCAGGAAAGAGGCAGGTTGACATGAATGGAATCAAGGAAGGGCAGTTGTTTTGGTTCCGCTGTGGACTAAGGGCTCTGGCGACAGGTTTATGAAAGGTGTTTCTGCAGGAGGCTCACCCTGTGCCAGCCTCTCCCCAGATGTTCAGATTTGTTGAGGGGGGTGGTGTATGGGGATGCAAGAAAGGGCCTTCTTGGTTGTGGCACCCCAATTGTGGAACGCCTTTCTCTTGGAGGCCAGGCTGGCACCATCACTAGGTTCATTTCACCGCCAAGTCACACCAAGTGACCATTGTTTAGTTCGACTTCCCATAGCTGGTTTTGTACAGGTTTGTAAGAGTTTGCTGTAGTTTTATGATTTTCTGTGACTTTTTAATTATTTGATTGTACTCTACTCTGAGATTTTTTCATATGTGTTGCCAACATTTTCATTAAATACATAAACACCGCTTCCCTGTAGGCTTGAGATAAAATCCATTTTATTTGCCCAGGCTTCCTAAGTACTTCTATGCACTGTTAAATACTGCCGACTCTTCTTTTATCTGCTTGTTGACATCTCTTACTTGTGCTTCCTGTTTATGCCATCCTTTTGCTTTTTTAAACCTAGTTAACCATCCTGAAACAATTCTGACTGAAGGTATTATGAGCATGTTTTCATTTAGAAGTGCTCCAGATCCACTAGCATGGAAAGTGGAAAAAGACTTTTGGACCTCAGGTTAAGGCCAGAGGATAACAGGCACTGATGCACGGAACATTTTGTACTTTTTTCTTGCAATCCTGTCAAACTGTATTTCCACAGTCCTTTGAAATGGGGAACAAAATGGGTGCTCATTTGGAGCATTTTTGATCTGCAGTTCAACAACAACAAGATTGCAAGAGTGGTATCCAAGCCTTCAGACTAAGAATCCAAAGACATTTAAAAAAAGATTGGGAGGTAAGAAGGAAAAAAGCAAATTCGGGCACTCGATACCAAGTTCTTATCAGTGTTCTTTCTCCGGGAAGGGTGACTCCCTGGCTGATGGACGCAGCCAAGCGGAACCATTGTTGGGGGCTAGGAGCAGAGCCCCAAATCCTTGGATGCCGCTTGCCCCACCATTGCCCTGTCCATGAGTCCTTGCGGAAAGAAGTGCTTTCCCCCCGTCTCAATCTTCCTGCCTGGATTTCCCCCACTGAAATCAAATGCCCTCCTCTTCCTATTCTTTACACTCCCTTTTACAAATAGGGGTATCCTTAGAGATGATGCACTTCACAGGCTGTAGGGCATATGTACATTAGCAGGTGCAAAGTTGTTCCTTTTCCTTTTCCTTTTTTTTTTTTTTTTTGCCCCATGGGCCTGAACCTGGGATCAGCACTACTGCTGGGGCCAAGCTGATTTCCCCCTACCATGATGTTCTTCCTGGAAGGGTGGACTTTTGGTTCTCTGGGCTATGAAGCTGCAGGCAGCTTTTGAAAGAGGAGCTCTACAAAAACTTTATGGACATGCATGATGGATTGTAGCTGCTTTAGCTTGTCTTGCCTTATCCCTTTGATGAATTTGAATCCTTGGCTAATCATGGCACAGTGTTCTAGCCCAACTTCAGGCTAGAGGTTTGGGTGACCCCAAAAACGCAGTCCAACTTGTCTGAACAACCTTGCCTTTGTAGAGTCCTCATGAGGACAGGGTTGTCTGTTGCACAGGGGCAGGGACAAGGCAGTATGCAACTACCCATTATTTACCATGGCAGCAAGTCCAAATGGATACTACATGCAGTTCTCCATTACTGTATTCTCTGGGATGTGCAGTTTCCCATCCTCATTAGCTGGCCACAAGTCATACCTCTTGGGGCTTTCCATCCATGTCAGTCAGGATTCTCTCAACATACTACAGCATAGGCCAGTCAACTGAGCGCAGAACAAGGCACGAGCTTGTTAAGCTCATCATAACGTCAATCAGAAACTTGTGAACTGGCCGGATAAGGTGGGATCCCAGCCCAAACACAGCTACATGTTTAGTCCTCTGGCCATCTCTCCAAGGACCTCTGGAAAAAGCACCTAGTGAACTAAGGAGG